AAATATTTATATATTTTGGAACGGCGCCTATTTCGACTAATTGTAACTTTTTTTTACAATTGGTCGTTTCGCACGCGGTAAAATATACGATAAACTAGGCCGTGAACACTTCGAATTGGTGTTAAGGATGCAATATTTCGATTTCGTTTCAAATTTTCATAATAATTACAGAATTTGAGACATAAATAAGGAAAAATGGGGCAAGGGGTAACTGTGTTGGGTGTGGTTGGTTGGATGGGTGGGTGGGTAAAAGGGGGTTGTTGGTGGCTGTCAGAAAACAATTAATGCATCAGTGCTACGCCAGCTTTTTTGAATTTATGTATGACTTCTGTGATGAAACTTCTGTACGCGTAGCATTATTGTTTGAAGTTTTGGTCACATCAATCGGGTCCACATAACTTGTGTGTGCTGTTTTTGATCCATATCAACATTGCACATTGACCATTTTAACCCTCATGAATATGGTTTGAATTTGTGTCCATTTGTCCTGTATGAGGTATCCAATAGTTAGGGCAAAATTATAAAGTAGGATGTAAATGCACTGGCTGACCTGGGGGTGGCCTGGGGGGGCACGTGCCCCCCAGGATTTTGGGAAATTATTATTATTATTTTTTTAAATGAAATGAAAATAAAAAAATTATAACAAAGTCCTCAACGTCTTCACTTCTTCCATTTCTCCCTATTCTCGAACTCGACCGAAGCTCTCGCTCCTCTCCAAAATCGCTCCAAGCCATAGCCTCTACTCCGGTCACCTGCCGGTCATCTTACTCACCTCCAAGCTCTCTTAGACAGTCAGTCTCTCCCAACTCCCACTAGGCATTGGATTCGCTGCGTTCTCACGAATCGGACCACTCCATCTCCGCGCCTCCACTCCACAGTCCACTCCTCCGCTGCTGGCAGTTTGGCACCACTTCGCCCCTCCACTCCTCTGGCCTCTCTGAGCACTCACAGTCTCCGGCACTCACGTGGGTAAGTTTTCCAATTTCCACCACTCTCAGTTAATGTTATGACTTATGTGTAATTATTACTGAATTGTGTAATAATATTTGTTATGTAATTATGTATGTTGTAACAGACAAACTGTGGTTTGTGGTCTGTGTTATTGAAATGAGTAATGAGGCAAATGAATTCCTGACTGACTGACTGTGTTATACNTATTGAAATGAGTAATGAGGCAAATAAATTCCTGACTGACTGACTGTGTTATACTGATTTAGGGATTTAGGTTTTTTGGGAAATTGATAGGGATTTAGGGTTTTTTTGATTTAGGGATTTAGGGTTTTGTTGGAAATTGCTATAATTAGGGATTGATTTAGCGATTGATACATTTGCCAATTTCGATTTAGGGATTGATTGAGGGATTGATTTAGGGATTAATACAATTGCCAATTTTGATTTAGGGATTGATTTAGGGATTGATACAATTGCCAATTTTGATTTAGGGATTGATTTTTTTTTCTTTTTT